ATTATATATATATATATATATATATATATATATATATATATATATATATATATATATATTTATTTTATATATATATATATAGGATATTCAAAATATGACTCGTGTATGCATTGCAAACATTATAAACCTACAAAAAATAATCGAAGAGTATAAAATCGAACTTGAAAATAATTCAACAAATGAAATCAATTTAGAGACACCGTTAAAATCAACAACAGCAGTAATAACAACAACCAAGCGAAAGAAAAATAAAAAGAAAGGTAAACATAAACAACAACAACCTTCATTAAGTGAAACAATATCAACAACGGCATCATCATCATCATCCTCCTCAATGGCAACATCGTCATCTTCATCATCTACATCTACATCTACATCTACTACAATTCAGTCACAAAATAGTCCTGAAAATACTTTAGTTAATAAACCAGTGAATTTGGAGTTTATTTATCATCCATGGTATCCCGTTATTCAATTAAAACAATGATATTGTAACAATAATATAATTCAAATCATTATCATTGCTTGTTGAATAGACATAGAAAAAATTGTTTTTTGTATGTGTAATAACTTAATTTACAAAATGTCTAATAGATTAACTAATTAATTAATAAATCCTTTCCTTACTATATATATGTGTGGTAATAAATAAATAAATAAATAAATAAATAAATAAATATTATATAATTATAGTAATGTTCAACTTGTAAAACATTGTTCATATATAATTATTATCAGTTATAATAGGAAATTAAAATAATTAATATCACACATATACATATTATTTTAGATCGATGTTTATGATTATTATTGGTATTTCTTAATAATATTTCTTGATGATGTTGTTGCTGTAGATTAATTATATTATTATTATTATTATCATTATTGTTATTGTTTGAAATGCTTTGGTTATTATTGTTGTTGTTGTTGCTAACATTATGTTTTTCCTTGAGATTATCATTATCACCATCGTCATCGTCGTCGTCGTCATCATCATCTTCTTCTTCATCAAGACATGATAAAGATGACTCGTCATCATCCGTAAAACAGTTATATTCGTTTTTACGTTTACCAAATCGAATACACAATCCAATTGGCCAGTTTTTAACGGACAACTTCCAAGTTTGAAAGGTTTCTAAATTCAAAAGCTTTTTCTCAATGTTATTTAAAGTACTTTTTCTTCTATTAAGAAGATCACCGGTCATACATAATCTAATTATCCCGGGTGAATAAAGAGTCAAGCATTTTATTACTGCGTCACTAATGTATGATGATTCAAGTCCAAGTAAATTGTTTTTACAAACGGCTATTAAGTTCATAAGTTCTAGTTCATTCCTGTATCGAGATCGTAAATCTATATTATTTAATGGGCCCGTATGTTTGAGCCTTTTTTTTTTTTTGATACAATCATATATTATGTATAATAGTGTGGTAATGATTATTATTATTATTAGATTGATTGGATTTAATTTTTTTATTATTAAAATCCTCAAAAAGGTATTTATTCAATACGACTTACCAAAGAGGATGATCTTTATAAAAATCAGCTATCATAGGAAGCAAAGCAGCAATGAATTTTAAATGCAATCCGGAAATATCCAATTTTTCCAATTTAGAAGTTCCACCGAGCATCCTTCTCCATCCAGCATAAGTGAACCATTCTGTGAGCGGAGAATCACACGCAGTAGTAAAAGATAACGATTTTAATGTATTGGAGAGTGAAGCTATACTATCCAATGTAGAATCGGATATTTCTATATTGTCATCAATATATTTTCTCTCCAAAACCAGTTCTTGCAAACACGGACAATTAATCAAAAGCTGCGCTACCCATACATCCGATAAACCCTCAAAAGACATGTGCGCTCGTGTGATTTGTGATCCATATTTTTCTACATAATGATTTAACGAATATACAGATTGAATCACTGCATGTATAAACAAACTTGGAGCATCAATGTTATGGTTATTAGCAATAATAGCATTATAATTATAATTGTTGTCATAATTATTATCACCGTTTGAATCATCGACTAGATTATTATTGGTGTTGTCGATTTTATTATCACTATTGCCATTGCTATTGATGTTTTTGTTGGCCAAAGAAGCCTGTAAAATTGATGGAAAATAAAGTGGAGTTAAAAAGGCGATCAAAGTTGCAGAGCAAGTCAACTTTAAGGCTCTTAAATGTTTATTGCTAAGTCCTTGACTTAAACATGGTGGATTCAATTCCAACACACCAGGAGTTTGTTCTGGTACTAAAATGCTAAAATTCTCCAGACAATCACAACGTGCATCTAATATTTTTAATAACACGGCAAGCCTATCTATAAATTCCTGAGAAACTCGGCCGTGAACTGTCAAGTTTCTAAAGTACTGGCCATATTTTGGTACTATGGTATGTAAAAAAAAAAACGAAATTTTGTAGACAACTACAGATCTGAAATGATATGTTGGAGTAAGAATGTGTAGGGAACGATGTGTAAGGGAAAGTTGTTTAAGATGAGCTGAACCAAGATATGAAAATATTTGTAAAAGTATTTCAGTAGGAAGAGTAAGGAAAGAAGTTCTTGGTTTTGCATTCATCCTTAATTCAGGCATTGATTGATAGAAGGGGGATTGATTGATTTTGATTTATGGCTTTTGTACAATTTTAATTGTAACTTTAATTAAATTAACAAAATAATACAATAATGTTTTTTAAAATTTCTAAAAATACACAAAAAATTTTTTATTTATTTTAAACTAGACAGTTTAATAAGAACTTTGATGATAATAATGCCAATGGAAACTTGATTATTTTGTTGATTAATTTAATTACAACATTCACCTTGGGTATTATTCTATGCTAGGTGATTCTGTAGTTGGTGCTAAAAACAATAGTAATATTAATAAGAGTAATGATAATAGCAATAAAAAAACTACCACTACCACCAACACCACTGTTCGTGTTGATAACTATTAATTAATTGCTTTTCTGAACAGATAATTAGTTCCAAACTCGTAACTTTTATGTTTTTCTTTTTCTTTTGAATCAATTAAATTTTTTTGTTCTTTAAAAAATTGTTAATATATAATTGATAATGATAATAATGATAAAAAAATCATTCATGATTTAAATTACATTAATAAACAAACATTCATTTTGACAATATTTATTTTTTCATTTATTCAAATGCAATATAATAACAATTATTAAAATAATTGATTAAATTTTTTCATATATTGAGTTTTTTATTTGTGCTTGTAGTAGGATCAATGGAATGTTTTCGTTTTTTCTCGTCACCTATTAAAATCATTGAATTATTATTATTATTATTATTATTATTATTAAAACAAATGTATATAATATATAATACAAACCAGATTCATCACTTCCTCCTGATTCTTCATAATCATCGCTGCTACTCTGTAAATTATTATTGATTTTATTAACAAAATAATAAAATGAATTCCCAACGTTATCTATAATAATAATGGAATCTACTTCATAACTTACTGAATCCAAATCCTTTTCATGTAAAAATGACCAGCCACCATTATTATAAAATCCTACTGGATCTTTGTTAATATATCTCATTATTTGTGCCCAATTTAAATTAGTCGTTCCTTCATAAAATAAAATATCTTTTGAATCCATCCATTCTTTTACACCTTCTAATTGATGCATTGGAATGGTGTCAATATGCATTGGTGGGCGTGTATAATCTTTGAAAATTAACACCATGTCGAAATTTTTAAATCCATGTTGTATTCTTTCCAAGTTCACTACTTCTACATCAGACATAGTTATAACTAAAAATGGCAAATCTACTAAATGAACAAGACAATCAGTTGTTGGTTGTAATAATACATTGGTTTTAAATGGAAAACCGAAGAATCCAATATCTCTAAAAGGAACATCCACATGTACTTTTTCATTACTGGACTTTGCAATTTTATTGGCAAAGCCTTTAAAACTTTTATTTAACAAGAATTGTCTTCTATGATCCTTTAGCTCTGAACCAACCTCTTCTTCATCAACATACTTGGTCTTTCTTTTACCATAATCAGTCTCATCAAATTGAGCATCAGACGTTTCACGGAAAAACTGAATGTCTTTGGCCTTTTCCTTTCCAAAGACAATTGGATTGATTAAATGTATGTGCAAAATTACAATCAACTCGTAGTCACAAGGTTGGAAAAATAAATGTTTAATATTGCTATATAGCATGTCTATTTTCTGGTTTGAATGACGAATGCCATTTTTATGAATCTGCAAGTCACCAGGTACTTTTTTCCCCTCCAATTCTGGCCTCACAAAACATCTGCTAGTATATGTTCTGCTTCTTTTTTAGTCGAGTTTTTCTTGAGTTTAACTATTTGTTCATGTACCTCAATCATATTGTCTCTTTTTCCCTCGAGAAGGCAAGCCAAGCCATCAGTTTGTTTCTGTCTTGCTAATTCAGCTTGATGCTCTTTTCGTCTCATTAAAAATATCATCTTCACCTTTATCCTCACTTCTAAATTCTGCACAATTTCTTATTTGAGGATTACTAGCTGGATTTTTATCATTTTTATCCTCTTGGTCTGTGGTAGCATCTGTTATACTCTTCGTCTTTGAATAAAGTGGTAGTATATTTTTTATTCTCATCATCTTCTTTGTCTTCAGTGAAAAAAGTGGTAGCATCACGGTTTCTATTTCCATCTGTCATATAATGACACGTATCATCTGAAATTTTGACGGTATCAATAATCCATATGGAATAGTTTTTTGTTTGATCATCTTTTGCTTTAGGATTTGTTATATTTTGAAATCCAACAATTAGATTCAATACCATTCCATTTTTAAAAACCTTATTGCTATTTGAATTTAATACATATGCAGATTCATGAAACTCGGTGCCAATTCCATGACCAAGGCTTCTAACAAATTTATCTGAAAGGTCGGGTCGTTCGCTTTTTAGATGATCAAGTGCTTGGTTGTACACATTACGCAATATAACTCCATCTATACACCAATCTATTATAAGACTTTGTAACTTTAATAAAAAATCGTAATCTACCCTTTGTTCCTAAATTAAAATAAAATAGGAGAAAATTCCAAATTAATATATTTTATTACTAATCTTGGTAGGGTTAAATAATATTGTCCTACCAATATTTGAACAATATCCTTTATAACGAATACCTAATGAGCATAAAATAATATCACCTATTTGATGACATATGGCTAAGTTTTTCACTGCACAACAACTGAAAAGGAGGCACATTTTATTTTTCAGCATCGAAAGGATAATACTTTTCGACAACATTACATAGATTCTATGAAATATCCATATACACCGAAGCAATTGCATATGCTTTCCTGAAAGTGTGCTGTATTGCTTTTAGATGTGTTTACGAAGATATATCAAGCACGAAATCAGTATCCTTTGATTACTAAATCTTCATCTAATGGTATTAACTCATACAAATTACCTTCTCTGGTTTACGAAATAACCGATTGTCACCTTACAAAGGCTTTGTTACTTTCTAGGAAACCATCTACAAACATTTTTTGCGATTACATATATTGTGATTACACTAAATATACTAATTTGAATAATTGTAGTGTATATACTCATGTGTGAGCATGGTTATTACAATAATTGCCTAATCTAAATGTTTGATATCTTGGACTATAAAAATGTCAACGCGTGATTATTTTGTAAGTAATGGACGACGATTGAATTTACCAGTTAAAAAATTCCACGTGACTAAATTAACCAGTCAAATAATTTTTGTGCGGTGCCAACATCTAAACTGAACACAGACTTTCCATCCAAACGTTAACGTTAAAATAAACGTTAAATAAAACGTATCTCTTTATACATCAATTAATAATACAATGATTAACTAATTGCATATATTTATTTATTTGGCTTTATGATTTATTTTAACGGGGCCCAGAGTTTAAAAATAAATTTACAAAATAAATAAATAGTACAAATAGTACAAATAGTACAAATAGTACAAATAGTACAAATAGTACAAATAGCACAGATGCCTTCATAAATATTTGTAAAAGGAATAAGCAAAAAAAAAAGATGAATTATTATTATTAAACATTGTCATGTGAAATGCCTCTAGCAGGGTGTTTATCGGAGGTAGAAGACATTGATAATCTATCCAAAGTTCCACCACGCTCACCAAAATCATCATCATCTTTCAGCCGATTATGTTTAAGTTGTCTTCTTAATTCAGAGCTATAACTTGACACGATAGACACAAAATAGAACTATCAAATAACATGTTGATATTATGTTAATGACATTACATGTATGTATGTATGTATGTATAGAATATAATATAATGTAATAAATACCCATAGTAGCACGACAAAGATATCGACAGACAAAAGAAACACAAGATATAATTTGATAGCTTGAGTACATTTTTCTCTTAATAGAGTATCAGATTCATTCGTGGTGGTGGTGGTGGTGTTGGTGTTGGTGGTGTTGGTACTAGGATCTTGTCTTTTCTTGAAAGGTTTCGACCAATTTTCTTTTGGATCCCATTTCAAACCACTTGCATTATTAACTTGAGCCTTATGAACACACGCATCAACCATACTGCTTTGATTTTGGAAGTGAATGACAGAAGAAAGTATTACCAATCCCAAATAAATCACAATAGTCAACCCAAGAACCCAGCCAAATATTCTAACAAATCGTTGTTTACCCTAATCAATCAAATAAATCACGTTTCTTTATTCGAAAATTAATTTTTTAAAAGAATTTAAAATAAAATTGTGATTAGTTACAGTAATACCACCGTAAAGACCACCAACGGCCACAACACCCTTGAATATGTTCCAAATGCCTACGACGATACCAATAGTTTCATTGGAAAATGATGTGCCTTTAAAGCAAAAAAAAAAAAAAAAAAAAAAAAAAAAAAAGAAACCATGTTAAGGGAATTTATCGAGAAAAGTTCGAATTTATTTAACGATTTTTTATTTACCATCAAAATTTTTAAATTCGTTATATGCACTTATAGCACTTTGAACCTAACAATAATAAAGACGACATTTTTATTTATTTTTAATCACTGTTAATAGATTTATCAACCAGTTAATTTGAATTCAAAAAGTAAGAAACTTGCCAACAAAATTATCGCAATAAGTATTGTTGCAACACGTAAACTAATGCTGTAATAATAATATTGTTGTTGTTGTTAACTGATGAAGTAAAGGATTACAATAACTTGAGAGCGAAAAAATTAAAAAGGAATCTGAAAATCTTTACCAGCAGCAACACCGCTGAGCCATAATTAAAAGTCAAAAAAAAAAAAAATCTAAATTTTTAAAAATTCAAAAATTTAAACAATTTTACCAATTGAAAAAAAAATGATAATTTAAAAAAAAGAAAGGGGAAAAGTAAAAGAAATCAAAAAAAAAAAAATCAAGGGTTCTAGATTTCTCTAATAATTCCAACAAACATCAAATTTTCATCTTTACATGATTTGTAATGTGTTTTTTAATTGTTGAAGGCTTAGCATTCATTGCTTGAAAATTACAATTAAAGATTTACTGCGCCACAGAATAATATTGCACAGCCATTATTCAATGCGTTATTATTAGTATTAGCATATCAATATTCAAAATTGGTGTCAAATAATTTTTATATATTCGAATATCTGTAATATGTCTTCGGTATCAGTAAATAACGGCATTATTTTAATTAATGATAAAGAAGAAACAATTTTTATTTTTCGTCAGAAGAGTCTATTACCAATGATGGATTTTGTATTTTGCTCACACATTACAATTAGTTGTAAATAAATCAATATAAACATTCAAGCATTTGTTTTAAGATGCAAAAGATTAATTAACTTCTTCACTATTCCTAGACAAAAAGAAAATCTTGAAAATATGCAAAAAGAATTGAGTTATCCAGATATTCATACAGTGATTCGAGATATTAGTACTAGGTGGAATCCATCATTTTATTCATGGAGAAGGTTGATTGATTTAAAAAGTGCAATTACCACATAAACTTGTAGCTGGTTTAAATAAAGATTACAAAAAAGATGGGAAAAGACTTGAACGAATCACGTTAAATGATAGTAAGTCATTAGTAAAAATGTAATATTTAGTTTTTGTATTTTTTAAAAAATAAAGTATATATATATATATATTATAATTACGATATCCAATAGTAAAAGTATTAGTATTAATTTGAAAGTATTTGAAAGTGTTAATATTTGAATTAGCATAGTGGAATTTTGTTTTTGATCGACATTCGAAATTATCACGTTACACGATTTACACATTCTTTTATTATACGGAAAATACAAAATAATTTAATATTAATTGTAAAATAATTTAACTTATAATTATATAATAAACTAAACAGTTTATTTTTTTAAAGATGCCTCGCAATCCTAATCAAGGTCCTTGCTCAGTTACTGGTTGTGAAAATTCAGGCCCTTACAGAAACTTTAATAAAACTGTTTATACAAAATCAATTAATTCTGGAACTTTTTCTAATTTTGATTATTTGATAGTTAATGAATCACAGTTATGTCTTCCTCATTATTTGCAAGTATGTGAGCCTGCTAAGGGAAAAAAATGCATTGCTTTTGTAAATAAAAATATCAATGAACAAAATAATATTTTTACCATTAAAAATTTATTAGACAATTTAAACAATCAAAATACTATGTTGATTGATGTTTCATTGAATGATATTTATGTTAATATTACTGATGACTCTATAACTATGTCTAATGATGATTTTAATTCATTGATAAACAAAATTTATCAAATGCAAAAACAAATTGAACAACAGAATGAAATAACATTAATTGAAGATGAGAAAGTGGAGCCTGAAATTGAAGAAGGTAATTGTATCCAAAATATAAAATTTATCACTCCAAGAAAACTCATTACTAATTACTATTTATCAAATAAAGTTGACAGATCATTCCCTATGCAAATTCAACGATTAACCAAAGTTATATATAAACAAAAACAAGAAAATGAAACAATGGAATTAAATCCAGAAAATTTTCAAAAATTGTTAACAGAACAAGATCCATTACTTGAAGGCTTTTTTGAAGAATTAACAAATGCATTGGTCCCTGAAAGACGTTCTACAACCAACCAAGAAGAAGCAAAAAAATCAATTGTTGGATTTTGTTATTTATTAGCTGGCCTTAGAAATAAATTTGCTAATTCTATTAAACTTGATATTGGTTTATATCTTGTATCATCTGGTACTAGTTCTATTGCAATAAATACTTTATCAAATGCTGGAATATGTGCAAACTATAAAACAATTGCCAATCATAAAAAAAAATTAGCAAACATTCACTCTGGATCTATAAATAATTATTTTAAATTAAATGTATGTATTATATATAAAGTTGTTAATTATTCATATATACTTTTGTTAAATATTTAATTTATTTATAATTTTAGATACATCATTTGTTTATATTTAATATTGATGATTTTCATGATATTCATGAAAAAAGAAGGCCAGATGCTACATTTTTATCAACAGTAAAACATTTTGCAAGTTGTATAGCTAAAAAAGTTGAATGCCATCCAGTATCAGCAATGAATGAACAAGTTTCAATACATAATCCTAATAATATAGAAGCCCATAAAATCCAACATTATCTTATTAATAAATATAAAGGAACCTTTGATATTAGTTACCAATCCAGAAAAAATGAATGGATTGCCAAAGATTTACATATATTTAATTCTTTTGACAATGATGATCTTCTTAGTATACATGTATATAATGATGCTATTAAAGGAAAACATGAAGAAAGATCAATGAAGGATGTTAGAATTATAGGCTTGCAAGAAAGAAGTTTACATTCTTTAGAAGATTATATTGAAGCCGCTTCAATGATTACAGATATTTCTGAGTTATCAGAATATCTCCTTCAGAATGTCATACCTGTTGTGGCAGATTTTCCTGGTCAATTGTTCATTCGAAAAGCCATTACTCTGTTGAATAATCAAGGTGAAACAAATATTCCAAAAATTATGCAAAATTTTGTACCTCTTTTAGGACCTCTTCATGTCTCTTTAAATTCACGTGAGCAAACATTGCTTGTCCATTATAATTTTTTTGAAAAAATGTTCCATTATGTTTTTGGTAATTCCAAAGTATTAGCAAAAAAACCTAAGCCATGGAGAA